TGTACAAGTGAAAACAGGAGGAAAACAAAAGAAAAGAATGATGAAAGTTGTGGGTTTATTGATATGTCTTGTATTAATAATGATACCTGTTGCAACATCAACAGGGTTTTTCACTCCAAGCCCTGAAAAGAAGAATTTGAAAGATGATGATGATGATGATGGCGTTACAGAAGGTTATCCAGGAGTTGTGATAGAGCTCGAAAAGGATGATGATAATGGCAACACCAAGGTTTCAGTCTCACCTCATCATGATGCTGATCAGTCTGTGGAGAAAATAAACCAAGAAGATACATTGACAAAGCAAGAAGATACGGTCGGGATTGGCAACGCCAAAGACACAGTTAGTCGTACGCTCCAAGCAGCTTCTGATAAAGCTCAGCAAATGAAACAAGGAGCCAAAGATGTTGCAACCAAAGCAAAGGATAAAGTTGCCGAGAAAGCTAGTGGTATGAAACATGGGGCGAAGGAGGAGGAGGAGTCTATTATTGGGAGGAGGAGGAGTCTATTATTGGCAAAGGGGAAGAGACGGTCAGTCGTACTGTGCACAAGGCTTCTGATAAAATGAAACAAGAATTGTTGGTGGAGAGTGCTTCCAAGGGAATCATGAGACGTGCCGGCGATGTTGTTTTCAGGTACACGATGTCACCGTCTTCACTGACAGGTGTGATGCATTTGCTGGGAGTGGCTGTGGCTTATGGGATGTGCGTGTGGGTTACATTTGCATCCAACTATGTAATTGGTAGGGGTGTACTCCCGAGGCAACAGTTTGTAATGGTACAGAGCAAGATATATCCTCTGTTTTACAAGGCTATGGCTTCTAGTATTGGAATGGCACTGCTTGGCCATTTGTTGTTTCGTCGGTTTCCAACATCACTTGGTGTGCAAGCCTTCAACCTTATGGCTTCCCTTGTCATGACTTTGGTGAATATGCTCTACTTGGAGCCTCGCACAACCAAGGTGTTTCAAAATACGTATGCTTTTTCTTCTATTTTTTCCTTTTGGGTATCTTCAGATCATTATAAACCAATGGCCATATTTGTTGTTGTCTTTTACTCGGTAGGTGATGTTTGAAAGAATGAAGAAGGAAAAGGAAGAAGGTGTGGGAAAAGATGAACCAATTGTTGTTGGTTCTGCGGCTGCTGACGAAACTACTACTACTACTACTGGAGGAGGAGGAGGAGGAGCAGCAGCGAAGAAGCCTAAGAGTGTGAAGCCAGGGCTGAATTCAACATATTCATCTATGCTCAATGTTGCCACTATCATCTCCCTTACTTGGCACCTTGTCCACATAGCCCAGCATCTTCATCATAATGCTTTTTAAGGACATTCCTCTGCTTTTGTGTATATGTATATGTGTTTGGTTCTTTGTACCTCATTTTCTTGCCATGTTATATTAATGTTAGTGTGTAATGTTCTTCCAATAATAATTCAGCTTGGACACAACAAGAGAGAGAGAGAGAGAGAGAGAGAGAGAGAGAGAGAGAGAGAGACTCAAAAGGATAATAAAACACCAAGAAGATAAATCTCTACTATAGAGAGATATATCTACATATTCCAGAAACAGAGATATATGTACATATACTAACTAGGTAGCTATGGTGGATACAGTCCCACCGGCACAAGTTTGTAGCTAACAAAAACAAACCTTTTATACATTGAATCACCAGAAACATACCAAGTAAACATAGTATTCGTGGGATGCTGAGTTGTGGTACTGGTTCCCACAATAGCTTTGCTTTTCCCACAGCAAAGATCATCTATAAATTGGTATGTAGTAAGTAGGATTTTGAGTAACATACCACACAAATTGGTCTTGGTCTGTCATTTCGGTCAATCATTTATTAAGCATTTACAATCCTTCTGATGCTCCGTAAGTTCCTGCAAATGCACATGGTTTTTCAATGAAAGTTCAATTCAACAGAATCAAAGACAAGTGTGATGGAAGTGAATCAAAAATATGCCAAACTGAGTCGGTCATAAGTGTGATTGATTACCTTAGCTCGTAAAGCTAAGTTAATCAAGGAACCATCAACAACCACCATGGAGAAAATTTTCTACATGGATATGATCACTTTATAGGTTGATAATAATGAATGAATAACCTGGATCTGTTTCTGCAGGAACTTTACATAGACTACTGCTTCTTCTAACATGTCAGCTGTGTTCGTTTGCTGCATGCAACAAAACCAAACTATTATTCTACATACTTATTACACGAATAACACGTAAGTGCAGATATCAATTGAAGGCTGTGACTCGTTAAAGCAGCAAACATTCATCTAGATAACAAAGTTAAAACAGAGGAGGAATTTTACGAGCTTATGTAACTAATTTACCTTATCCATATTTGGGACAAGTTCCTGTAGCTTCCGTATCCTGTCACTAATACGCGTTCTTCGCACCTGATCATATACATAGGCTTAATTCCTAATATAGAGGGAGAATTCACAGATATTATACATGAAATAGCTGACAAGAAAAAAAAAAAAAAATATATATATATATATATATATATATATATATATATATATATATATATATATATATATATATATATATATATATATATATATATATATATATATATAGTACCCTTTCAGCAATGCTGCGAGGATGGGTAGCACAACCACGTTTTGCTCGAGTCCTGCACATAACTGAGTCCTCCAAAAGCTTTTCCATTTCAACATCCAACGGTTCATCTTGTAATTCTCCTTTCTTCACCAATAAAACCAAAATACGTTTAGTATCATTCCCGCATAGAGAAGCAGTCATCAGCATGAAACACCAAATTCCATGGAGATTACCAAGGACGAAATATAATCACGTATATGCAGTAATAAACACAAACAAAACCATAATGAAGTTCATACAATCTACATTGAGCAACAAAATATTTATGGCGAGTACATTATTTACATGTTACAACTATATCTTCATTCAATGAGTCGGATACTATTTTGTACCGACAATACACACAAGATTCAGATTTCATCATTGGATACAAATGCATAATCATAAGTTTAACTTGTTCTATTATCTAAGTAAACGTCCAAATCTAATATACACATATATACTAGTACACTAAGGTGTATCATGGAAGAATTTTCACCATAAAGACAAGACAGTTTTTTATTGCTAAAAACATGGAAAGTTTAGAGACTTTTGTCATTTCATAAGTCCATTTTATAAGGATCCATAAATCCATTTTCATAAGGATCCATTCAAGATCAATATTTCTATTTTCTAAATAGCAAGAGAAGTTGGAACTTAACGCCAAAAAGAAAACAGGAAAATAATGCTAAAGCAATAAATAGTAATGTAATAAATACCAAAAGAATAGTAGAAGAAGAAGAAGATACTAATTTAGGGGAAAGCTTATCCAAATCCTCGGCCTGGCGGGGGCGCTTAGCCGGTGGAGGAGATGAAACGTAATCAAAATGATTCCCCGGAATGGGTAAGTTGGGAAAGTAGGCTTCGGAGTTACTAAGAAGAGAGAGAAAATCTGCGGGAGAACTGTTCATCCTGAGGAAATTGCTCAACCCACCGCCAGAGGTGGATTCGAACAACTCCAGATCGATGTCCTCCGCATTGGGGGTATCCAGAAGAAGCTGAGGAGGTTGTTCGTCGTCGGATTCAAGTAAGGCTTCCAACCAAGTAGCCGGAGCTGAGCGGTATCTGGCAAGACCACCACCACCGGAGGAGGAGCTTCGACTGAGCTCAGTGGCTCCACTCTCTCTTCCTTTAGGGGGTTGCATCAATTTTCCTTATCTGGATTTTCAGGTGGTTTATGTTGTGGAGCAAGAAATCCCACTTCCACACCAAAAATGGAAAATAAATAATTCTATATAGATAGATAATGGTCAAGTTCGAATTCCTACAGTTATTGGGTTTTAAGGCAAAGTCGCAGGTGTATTGAAAAAGACGGGACTCAATAGACATTTATGCAAGTATTATTTTGGTAGTTGGCTGCTTCTTTATTACTAATCCTGAGAGGAAATACATATACATATGCATATATCTATCCATGTCGGTGGATTTGCTTGGGATTATATTATTGGCCAAAATACAGAACAAGAGAGGTCATCTAAATCTAATTGTGTGTCATACTGACATACCTAATTAAAATATTCAAGTTTTTATTTTCGTTCAATCAACTTTGGAACAAAATAAACAAAATGAAAGCAGAGAGTGTAAGTAATTAATAAGAGGCAAAGATATAATACAAGCTACAAAGATTCGGATGGTAAAATAAAAGTCTATATCTATCCAAGTTCCAACCACCAACTTGTAACATATTCATTTCATTTGCTACAAAAAAAAATTAAAAGTTTTTTTTCCGGAGAGGCTGCTGCAGCAGGGTTCTATTCTTTCTCATCTCCCCATTGGCATATTAACTTATCATGCAACAATCAAACCCAAGCAAGCATTCTCTCTCTATATATTCTTCAATTTAGTCACATTTGATGTTCCTGTAAATTCTCCTCACAAACAAGTTGGACCCCAGATATCCAACCGCACCTGAAATTCATACCAATTTTACATTATTTATCATTTCATTGTAACAACGTTTTTCTTTTCTTACCAAACGCTCGTGTGAGAAGAAACTTACCGCACAATATTCCCAATCCAAGACAGAACATCAACGTGTATCCAAAATAAAAGCTGGTCTGGAAGAAGCCTGACATCTTAGTCTTCACATGATAGTAATATATCGAATACAAGTACACATATAGAGCAGTTGAAGCCGCTGAGAAGAATGATGTCCACTGCCAATGATAGTTCTCAGCATTCAACAAGAAATACGTCCCCACAATTGTCACACAAATGGTCACAATTATCAGAATTACAAACACAAGAAGCATGAACCCGTACACGTAGTACACCTACCAAAAACATAAACACAAATATAAGCATCGTGGCGTGGCTGCAATAATTTCTCAAGAAAGAGATCGCCGCATACCACTTTATGCAAAAAACATACAATATTACCTTGTAATTCCAGAAGGAAGTGAAGACAAAGTACATTTCGATAAAAATGCTTCCAAAAGGAAGCAATCCCCCCATGAGAGATATAATGGATGGTGTTAGATACCATTTCTTCTCCGGAATAGGACGAGGGATGGTCTTCACTCGGCAAGGATTGTTTGGTGCACCACTCCAGTTTCTCCCGACAACAGTACCAAGAAGAGCCAAGGGGAATGAAATGAAGGCCCATATCACAAAAACAACCACCATGGTACCAAAGGGAATGGCAGCCAGAGAACCATAGAATATTGCAACTGTGTTCAAGACGAAGCCAATGCCAAAGCACAAGAATGGGAAAAGTGATGCTGTGAGGATCATTGACTTTATCCACTTCTTACCTGACAAGAGGTAACACAAGTAAGCAAACCACCCACAACCGAAAAAAGAGTCGTACAATCATCAAACGATAAGAACTGAACAAGTACAAGAAACTCTTTCTTCATAAAGGTTGAGTTGAAATGATACATACCCCCATGGCGGGAATACATGCCACCGCTCACATAACCAGCTATGAATGAGGTAAAAGCATAGCATACGATAAAGGTAGTCACAATTGCTCCTCTCCTGAGTCACATATCATCACAGCAGGTAATATTTATGATAATTAAGATGAATATACACAATTGAGGAGAAGTAATACTTTTCAGCAACGTAGCAAAATTAGTAACAAAAGAAAATAAAATCGATTTCAAGAGAACCGAGGCAACACAAAGAATGGATAATACGGCAAAACGAAGGTAGTCAGAGTGGTGACAGTCAAACTTAAAAAAACTGGATCTGATTAAATTTCTACTAAGAATCCATGTAAAGTTTATGAAGCAAATATCAACTTTTTGACAGGCCCAGGTTTCTCAAAATAAAGTTAACAATAAAGTTTCACCAGACACAATAAATAATGCCACTCTATGCAAGAAACTAAATATCCACTTTGCTTTTCATTCTGTACAAGTATTCTTTTTTCCAGTTCCAGGCCAAAATTGATCAGAGAAAGGCCAGACTCGCAGAATTCAGAGCCATTTGAGGTAGAAAGACAACCTGAGGTTTGTAAGACTACTTTTGTGTTTTTAACAAACCAAACAGAAGCATATCCAACTATGAAAAGGCTTGATAACTCAAAGAACTGTTCAGACGCCATATTGTTTTATAGAGCAAAATCTTATTACCTAACAAGCAAAGTGTCTTTTATCTAAGTGATTCACAAGCATAGTTTAGACTAAAAATGCTACAGATCTGCTTCGTTCATTCTAAGGACTAAAATGAGATCTAAAAGTGGTTATGGCATTACCCTATGTACAGCATCCCAACAATTGCTAGAATGATGACGAGCAGAACAAGTGTCGATAGTTGAGCGCCAGTGCCAACAACAGCTGTTAGTAGAGCCAAATTTTGAGGGGGACGAAACACATCACCATGGACAAGCTTCCAACCGGATTCTTCACTTACATCCCGTTCCTGACAAAAACGTTCAGTATAAGAAAGCTTCCAAAAACACTAGAATATGACAATTGTCAATTAACACAACAAATATAGAAGCCTGCTACACAAGCTATTACATAATTAACACAAAGCAGTGTAGCTAGTATAGGAAGAAAAGAAAAATTCAGAGATCATTACCAGAGTCTCAAGATCATCATCCTCCCTAGCATACTTTGCATAGTCGTTCCGGAGGGTGCGCATTAATATCATAGAGACCAAACCAGTAAGGAAAATTACCATCATGAACGAATTAAAGACAGAGAACCAGTGGATCTGCAAAATCAGAAAACTCGGATGATCTTCCCGGGAGAATCGTCATAATTTTAAGTTTTTCACTCCTCATCACTACCTTCTAGAAAAATGTTCGAAATATATGGATACAAATGCAGAAGTAAATAATACCCAGTAGTCTCCAAGAGTGGATCAATTGACTGGCACATGTTCTCAAGAAAATCTTTCACAATGTTAATGAATATGTACCTGGTGCTCAAAAAATGGGTAATCCAGATAAACATCAAAACGACGTGCAAACGTGATGTTAGTTGGAACCCATTTGACAGAGTAAGTCATATCCAATGTTCGCCCCTCATCAAGTGCCTTAGGATTTTCTTGGGTAAGATTTACATGAATAATCTGCAATTGCAAATTTCAAATTCAAAATAAACAAGCTAATTACATCTAGTTACAGGAAAACAATAACACATAAAATAACATCTTCATTCAAGCCGACCTGGTCCTGATTATAGTTGATGACAAGATTCTTGTGTGTAAAGAGCACATGCTTATGATCACGGTTTCTATCAGGAAGAACCTCACCAATAAAACCTTCACCAAAAGAATTAGCAATTCAATTAGAATTCAACATAGTCGAACAGTGAACTAAACCACTACTATTCAGTTGGAAACTTACCCCACAGTGGCAGGTCATCTGATTACAGGCGACCAAAGAGATACACAGAAAGAACACAAGTTAGAGAGAAACAAAGAGGTGTTTGTTGAAAGAAAATGACACTAATTTGGTACGTATACTCAGTATTTGTGCAAGGCCAAAAATCATGAGCGTACCCATAAAAAATTCAAACCAGTATGAATTGTCAATTGCATCCTTGAAATGTTTAGCCTTTACTGCATCCAATTCAATATCACAAATTGAAGACTTCTCCACGTCTCCTGCAAAAGAAAAACCGTTAACTACATATACTACCACAAATCTCAGGTAAACAAAAACAGTTGGACCAATGAGTTGCAGAAACGGGATATTACTCTTGAATTTTATATCAATTTGGCTATCAATGAGCTCATTCCCTCCAAGAACCTCACCGAGACCACCCCACTTGTGAGGAGCGTTGCCAGGTAGGTGGCAAAATGGGAGGCTGTAATAGTTGTAGGTCTCTTGGGGATTGTTATATGGGCCAACCTTATTCACCCATAGAGTGACCGCCTCATCGTCTTGATACTGCAAAACAATTAAAAACATGTGAACGATGGGGAGCATGCAATCAATTCTTTTATCCATTACACAATCAGAGAGCAGAATTCTCTTAAATTCCTGAATAAATACACCGGACATAATTTGTTCTATTGACTGATATTTCCATTCAAAAGTAACGGATTCATTCAGCATATTGAATAATATAGACTGGAAACAATTTCGTTCACATCTAAATTAGAGATCTTGATTAAAAAGTAATAGATATATTTCATGTAGCATACTGAAGTACGCACTAGAAACAATGTGCATGTTCATGTAAATGGAAAGATGAGAAAAGGAATTCCACCGTGCTGTTATGGCACATCTTCTTGATATATCACAAGAAAAAACAGTCAGTTAAATGAAAAGCACAGCATTTGATCTTTAAAATCAAGAAAAACTTAATGACTAAAGAAGGCAAAAGGACCAAAACAACTTCTCTTAAAGGGGCTGTTGAGTTTATTTCAATTTTCGCTTGTCAACCATTTAAATTTTTTCGTGCAACAGTGGATAATTCAGTGGCAACATAGAGGGGAAAAAAACAATAATTAATTTCAGAAAATAAAACCGCCCATTGCTCTTTCCTATCATTTACCTTCAGCTACCGTTCATCTTGTCATTTAACTCAACAATGCCAGAATATAACATAAGAAAATGAACAGCCATAATCAAATCTCAATAGTTATGCATCAAAGGGAATCGAATGTAATAAAATTTATAGGCAAATACATATTCAAACAAGATCTAGAAGCAGCAAACGACAAAATTGAGAAGCCATCCAAGGGTAAATTACAAATATATCTCACCTTGCCGAGTGAGGAAGAGACGAGGAACGCGAAGAAGAAGACGAAGATGCAGAAGGATCGGACGGAGGAGAACATCGCTTCGTCGGATCTGAATGAAGAAACCTGAGGATTGTAAATTGAAGAAAAAAAAAAGGGAAATTGGTGTTTATTCCTAATTGAGGGTAACAGATTTAGATCTCGAAAAAGGATTTTCGGACAAGGAAAGGGTTCGATTTGGTGTCAGGTTTAAACGTCGTCATATGAATCCATCTGAGATTTTCGAATCTGCGGAGGACTTTGAGACGAGAATGGAAGTCGAGAAAGAGAGAGTGCAAATTAAATCTGGGTTTATGACTTATGACTCACCTATACAATTGTACATTTCTTTCTTTTTTATTTTTTTGTTCGTGTTAATATTTTATTATCTATCAATTAGACGTAAAACAAAAATAATTAGTATATATATTAATGAGAGCATCATTCAATTACCGATAGTAGACTAGAATAAAACATTGACCACACAAACACAGACTACACACACAGTGATGGTGAAAATAACTTGGTCAAAAATTAACTTAATATCATTAACTCTTTTATGAAGAACAAATCACATATAATTTATTCATCAAACATATATGGTGGGGAATCAAAGGGAGGTGGTTGAATTCCATCCTACCGACGTCGACTCTGCTGCCACTCCTCTGCTACGCGACGACTTCGTTCCAGCCGCCGTTACTACCAGGGCCACCCTGCCCCTCGCCCCTCGCTCCAACTCCGGCGGATGGAGATCATTATAGGTAACCGCTTCTAAATTCAACTTCCGTTCTATTTATTCAATTTTACTTTTAGTTTTGTTACTGGTTTGTTGGCGTTGAAATTGCGGAAAGGTTTGCCTATTATCATGGTTCGCCGGAATGGAACAGTGCATTGTGAACACGTGGTCGGGAGCGGCGTCTCTATTGCCTCTTTTAGGTGCTTTTGTGGCTGATTCTTATCTCGGTCACCATCATAATTGCCTCTCTACTCTCTACTCTATGTCTTGGTTTAGCACTTGCTATTTACGCTAATTTTCTGATTTGTAACCTATACTATTGATCGAGATGCATGTCGATCTGTATATATTACTTTTGCTCGGCTTTGGAAATTGGAATACATACACGCTAAAACTCAATCAGCATCTGTGAATGTGTTTTATTGATTTGGGGTTTGGGGTGATTTCAGGGACTTGGCTCCCCGACCTTTTCTGCTATATTTCCCTTTTCAAACTATATTATCAACTACCAAGATTCTGCAAATACCGGGGCATGTTCTTCTCACCTGCAAGTCCATGATCAGTTTGATGTCCATGATCCTAAGGAACACAAGGAGAGAAGCTCCTTCTTCAATTGGTGGTATTTTGGTATGTGCGCAGGTAATTTGGCAACAGTCGCTCTCTTAAACTATATTCAAGACAACCTCGGTTGGGGTCTTGGGTTCGGTATCCCATGCATCGTTATGAGTCTTTCTCTAATCATATTTTTTATTGGTACTATGACTTACCGATTCACCAGCATAGATAAAGAGGAAAGTCCATTTGTGAGAATTGGTAGGGTCTTTGTCACTGCAATTAGTAATCGGAAAATGAAAACTCCAGCAGTATCAGTGGAAGAAACTACAGCTATTCTACGTCAGCCTTATTCGCAGCAATTTAAGTAAGAGACCAACATATACTATCTTTCATAGTATGTCTGTGCCTATTTCTGTTAGTTGTACGTTAAAATTTTTGACTGCCAATCTGACTGCCAATCTGAAGCAACCTCATCATTGAGTGTTCCTATAGTCTTTAATTAAGATTCTTTTTTTATCTCCATATAAAATTCCCTAATTTCTTCCCAAAATTTGTGTTCTGCCTTTGGTGGAAAGGAAATTGTTGGAGAGCTTATTTGCAAAGAAATAATAATAATAATATCAGTTGAAGTTTCCATAAAAAATACAAAGGAAGATGGCATGGCTAAGTAAATATGCATGTTTCAGGTTTTTAAACAAAGCTTTGGGGTAATGTGAGCGAAGTTGAAGAAGCAAAAGGGGTTCTGAGGCTGATTCCAATTTGGTCTTAATGTTTAGTATTTGGAATTGTGTTTGCACAGGCATTCACCTTCTTTACGTGACCATGGACAGGAGGCTAAGCTCAGGCATTGAGGTACCAGCTGCTGCACTTCAATCTTTCATCAACCTCTCTGTTGTCATTTGGATTCCCATGTATGACCAGGTTCTGACACCAATTGCAAGAAGTTTGTCTGGGAATCCAGCTGGCATAACAATGCTACAGAGGATTGGAGTTGGCATAGTTTCTTCTACTGTGTGTATGGCAGTTGCTGCGACAGTTGAGAGGAAATGTCAAGAATATGGGCTTGTGGATATGCCAAAAGAAACTGTTCCAATGAGTGTATGTTGGTTGATACCTCAATATCTGTTGTTTGGAGTTGCAGACGAAGTTTTCACTATACAAGAGTTTTTCTACGATCAGGTGCCCAGTGACTTGAGAAGCATCGGACTTGCTCTGTACCTCAGCATATTTGGTGTGGGGAGCTTTTTGAGTAGTTTTGTGATAATTATAATTGAGGAGAAAATCAAGACAGTTGGTTCTCTGATAACTTGAACCGGGCTCATCTTGACTACTACTATTGGTTACTTGCTGGCCTCAGTGTGGTGGCATTCATGGCCTACCTATATTTTGCTAAATCATATTTTTACATGCAACAGGTCAAATTTTAGGTAGTCGTTGATAATTAGCTAGAAGACGGTTTGGGAAAGGAGAAGAAAATTTTAGGTTTCATGATGAAGCATTACATTGCAATTGTACCTGATAAATGATGATTAATAAACAACAAGTATTATTTCATTTTTGCTGTCTATTGTGGAAATGGACAGAATGTAGATGGCCCAATTTGAATTTGAAGGAAGGACAGGGCTGGTTGAAATTAGCAATAGACGTAGCCCACTTGTCCAAGGAGTTGTAATGTAAACATTAAATCCACAAGCTTAAAAAAAAAATTAATGGGACGCACCAGGTGTTGTACTGTAGGTTTGCATGCACTAACAACTCTATCCACGTATACATGCAAATGTAAGGACAAGTCAAAAAGCCATGCCGTAAAACTAGGCTTTAATTTTCCCAAATTCTGTGGGGCTTTTTTTCTTCCGCAAACAACTCTCTCTAGTACTACTCTCGATCTGGACTCTCAAGAAGTATTGCAATGTTTATTTCTTCGGACACCATTGTCTGTTGTCAGAATGGTGAAGCAGAAAATGGTATTGTGAACGGAATGATGGATCATGAGGGTCGACCCGCCAAAAGATCTCAATCGGGCTACTGGCGCTCTTCATGTTACATCATAGGTTGGTTGTTTGTGAAATAACTTTGGGTTTTTTAGGAGAATTTATTTTGCTGAACAAGTGTTGAATTGCAGGTGCTGGTGCGACGGAGAGATTTGCGTATTATGGAATAAGTTCGAATCTGATTACATATCTTACGGGCCCGCTGGGGCAATCGACAGCGGCGGCAGCTGCCAGCATAAATATATGGACTGGCACTGGTTTACTTCTCCCGCTTCTCGGTGCTTTTGTGGCCGAGTCATTTCTTGGACGATACCGAGCCATTGTCCTTTCTTCCATGCTCTATATCTTGGTGTGTTTGTTATTTAACATTTTCATTATGTGCTATGTTTCTTTATTAATTATTAGTCAATATGATTGTTGATGAATCTAAACTGCGTAATCATATAAATGATGAGACTTAATTTGAAATAACTAATTAGGCACTTGGGCTGTTGACTACATCTGCCTTCCTTGATTTCCGACCTAATGAGCTCGATGTTCTGTTATTCTTTGGGTCCCTGTACTTGATGGCTCTGGGACAAGGTGCATACAAGCCTTGCATTCTGGCGTTTGGTGCAGATCAATTTGATGACAATCATCCACAAGAGTTGAGAAGCAGAAGCTCTTTTTTCAATTGGTGGTATTTTAGCTCATGTGCTGGTCCATTGGCAGCTCTATTGGTCTTAAATTACATTCAGGATAACATTAGTTGGGCCATTGGATTTGGGATCCCATGCATTTCTGCAGCAATTGCACTGTCAATATTCTTGCTTGGAACCAAGTCTTATCGCTATAGAATCAAAAGAGACGAGAAATGTGCCATTTCAAGAGTTGCTCAAGTCTTCATTAAAGCGGCAATGAATTGGAGAGTTATCCCTTCCACTAGTAACAATAACGAGGAGGAGCAGGATACAGTGCCTCATCTACGTTCTCAGCAATTCAAGTAATTAACTACTTCATTAATTAGCTATTAATTATGATCTTCAACTGAATAATGCATGCATTTTCGTCGATATATAAATTGAAAATTTATAACTTGCAGGTTTCTTAACAAAGCCTTGCTTGCGCCTGATGGTTCGGTGGAATACGGAGAAGTTGGCATCATCATGCAGGAGGTGGAAGAGGCAAAAGCACTAATCAACTTAATCCCACTATGGGCTTCATCTTTGGGATTTGGCATTGTCTTATCTCAGCCCTCGACTCTCTTCACCAAACAAGGAATCACAATGGACAGATCAATCGGTTCTAGCTTTGATGTACCGGCTGCTTCACTTCAGTACATAATTGGTCTCACAATAATCATTTTCATCCCCATTTACGATCGTGTTTTTGTTCCATTGGGGAGAATTGCAACCGGAAATCCATCAGGGGTAACACAGCTCCAGAGAATCGGAACAGGTATGTTGTTATGCACAGTTTCAATGGTGATAGCAGCACTAGTCGAGAGAAAGAGACTAAAAACTGCTTCACAGTACGGATTAGCTGAGTTGGGAGGAGCAGAGGTTCCGATGAGTTTCTGGTGGCTAATACCTCAGTATATAATATTCGGTATTTCAGATGTATTCACCATAATCGGATTGCAGGAGCTGTTCTATGAAGAGGTGCCTTGTGGATTGAAAACAGTGGCACTGTCAATATACCTGAGTATATTGGGGATTGGGAATTTCTTGAGCAGTTTCCTTATATTCATAATTCAGAGAGTAACTAGTGATCAAGGTGGCCAAGGTGGTTGGTTTTCGGATAATACGAATGGGGCACATTTAGATTACTTCTATTGGTTACTTGCTGGAGTTAATGCAGCTGGTTTGCTAGCATTCTTGTGCTTTGCCAGATCTTTCAAATACACAAATCGTTGGAACTTGGTTTCAGATTAATTGTACTCACTCATAAGCTTACATTTACATTGTATTATTATTAATTATTAGTTACACTATCTTGTAAGCAAAAAAATAGATCTAATATTACATACAGAAAGTTTATTTAAAGAAAAATAATTAGGTAAATAATAAAACAAATTGTGGGCAGCCCATAAGTTTGGGTCATCCGTTTTCAACTTATAATGTCCATAATTTTCCTTTTCTTGTTTAAATAATATTAAAAATTCTTTATTTTTGTTTCTCATATTCCACAAACACTGTAGAAATTCAAAATTGAATAAAAAAATAGTAAATGATTTTTTGTTTATTAAATATGAAAAGCTTTTGGAGAAATAATAGTGGCGCTGAAAGCGGAGACTCTAATCATGATTCAATGTGACAACTGGAATTAACGTAATCCTTAATCATCGTCAATCCCAACCTCAAGATTCTTTAAGTCACATTATTAATATAGGATTAGTTATTTATATTATATTGATTGTTTTTAGTTAGAGATTAAAAAAGGGTTATACCCTAATTTTGGCTGTATTTAACCCATTAAAAAATCACCAAATTGTGATTAATATAGTAGAGTACATCTTTAGCAGTAGCTGCATCAACATATTTGTTTATTGTAACTTGTAACCAAATTAATTGAACGAGAAACGGTTTAATTAGAAGGAACAAGAAGTATTTTATACCGTTGGTACAGTTAAGTTAATTACTAGTAGGGTCCATTTTATTTTTGAACGAATTGGCAAAGAAAACTTGGATGGAATTTGCAATAATGATGGGTAAGAGTGAGAGCACCAACTTTAATTATTTCCTCTTCCCAACGGATTCAGACAAACTTGGCCCTCTAACGTTGTTCCTCTCTACCTTTGTTTTCCTATGTCTTTTAATCCCATCCTATTACATATTACTCCACAACAGATGTTCCTTTTTTTTTTTTTTTGGGTCAGAATGTTCTGTTTAAATTAAATTAAATAATTTAAAGCTTTTTTTTAACTAAATATAAAACAGAAACAAAAAAGAAAGATGCAGCTTTGGGCTGATGGGTCCCCATTTGAACAACTGACATCCCACCCGTTACCTATGCTTACACTATCATCTGTATCTATATGTTACTCCCATCTTTCTCCTTTTTAATATTATTAATCCAAAATTAATGAGAAAAAATGGGATAATTTGTGTTTAAGTATATAGTGTAAGCATTCATTTTCTCCAATCAAATCATTTGACAGCCTGTCAATATAGTTCTTGATTTTATTATGTATCCATGACAAAGCATGTTTTTTGCTGCAAATTAATTGGATTTTCAAAGGAATAAAATCTTCCAACGTACTGAATATAATGTTCTGAAATTAACTAGGCATTTATTAAGGAGTAATCTGTTTATTTGTTGGGCCTTGAAAAAAAATCTAGCTACTTATGCATATGGGCTTCTATGTATGCGGGATGATAAAATAGTCCATCACAATGAAACAAATTTACTGCATATGATAAAATTAGTATATGATAGTGATAATGACATTAAAATTATTATTGCACCAATATTCCCCTTTCATTAGGGAATTATTCGTTTTCAAGTTTTTTAATGTTAGGTATTACTCCATAAATAAGCATCTATATAGTAGCTTCAAAAATATGTTTCAATTATTTTTCCTTTTTATTTGTAAAGAAAAGCAGATACATTTAAAAGGGATAGAAATATTTCATATGAAATGCAATTATTAGATTAGTAATTTAATTATTTATATATAAAAAAATATTAGTAATATAATTAATAATTAACTTATTTAAGAAAAAAAAGATTAATTAATAATTATTATACAGCAAAAAAAAGATTTTTTTGTTTTTAGTAAAAAAAAAAAAAGAAAGAAAAGAAAAAAAATTTAAACGACAAAGAAAAAAGAGTAACGTTGAGAATGGACCCCACAAAAAGAGTGGTAACGAGCTGGCAAATTTCAACGAGTCTTTTTGACAGCCTGTTTCTACGCGCGCACACACATACACATACAGCCGATTGAAATTCCTCCACATTTTCTCATATTAATAGAGCCCCACAAGCCTTCGTCTCTCTACCACTACTCTCTCTCTCTCTCTCTCTCTCTCTCACTCACAGTTTTGTTGCTGTGCATAGTAAAAGGATTTTTGGATTGCTTTCATTTCTTGTCCAAGAAATCCTTTGCTATTTGCTGCTATATTATATATAATTAAGTGAGGGAAACGGATATTATTTTGTTCTGATGGCTGAGGAAATTAAGAAAACAACTACTCCGGCTCCCGAGGCACCTTGCGCAACTGAAGAGGTTGCGGTGGCTGAGAAGCCTACAAGCTCTGACGTAGATAAGGAGGCGCCACCGCAACCTGCGCCGGAAGAAGTGGTGGAAGGAGATAAGAAGGAGAAAGATGAAGAGAAGAAGATGAGTGAATCTGCTTCGTTTAAGGAGGAAAGCAACAAGGTGGATGATCTCATTGACCCAGAAAAGAAAGCCTTGGATGAGTTCAAACAACTGATTCAGGAGGCACTCAACAAGCATGAGTTCACTGCTCCACCTCCACCACCGCCCGCCCCGGCAAAGGAGGAGGAGGAGGAGGAGAAAAAAGAGGAAGAGAAGAAAGAAGAAGACCCAAAGACGACCGAAGAAAAAACTGAAACTTGTGAAGCACCTGCAGCTCAAGTTCCGGAAAAGGTTGAAGGAGAAGCAATCCCAGAACCGGCTGCAGAAACAGTGGAAGCGGCTGAAGAAATCAAAGAAACCATAGTTCTTGAGGATCCAGCGCCACCACCACCGCCGGAGGAGATTTCCATATGGGGTGTTCCACTTCTTGCGGATGAGAGAAGTGATGCGGTACTCCTAAAGTTCTTAAGAGCTAGGGAATTTAAGGTGAAAGAAGCTTTGACGATGCTGAAAAGTGTGGTAGCGTGGAGGAAAGAGTTCAAGATTGATGAGTTGGTGGAGGAAGATGAAGAGGTGGTGGGGGGTCTGGGTAAAGTTGTGTATATACATGGAGTGGATAAAGAGGGGCACTCTGTTTGTTACAATGCTTTTGGTGAGTTCCAGGATAAGGAGTTGTACACCAAAACCTTTTCTGATGCTGATAAGAGAGCCAAGTTTTTGAGGTGGTACATTCAGTTCTTGGAGAAGAACATCAGAAACCACCTCGATTTCACTCCTGAAGGCACCTGCACTATTGTCCAAGTCACCGACCTCAAGAATTCACCTGGACTACTCCTTTTCAAGAAAGAACTCCGCCAATCTACCAACCAGGCCCTCCAATTGCTCCAGGACAACTATCCTGAGTTCGTTGCCAAACAGGTACTACTTATACAACAAGATTGATCTTTTATTAAAAATTCAATCTTTAACATTTCTTCAGTCTTTAAATGTTTTTGGTACATGCATGCATGTTAGTACTAAATACTAATTGAGTTGTTGTTAATTGTAATTGGGTGTGCAATGCAAAGGTGTTCATCAATGTACCGTGGTGGTATGTGACCTACAATAGGATGATCAGTCCATTCTTGACACAGAGGACCAAGAGCAAGTTTGTGTTTGCAGGTCCAACCAAGACTGCTGAGACCCTCTTCAAGTAAGTTCACTTTATTATTATCATTCCCTGCATAGTACTCTGAATCATTGTTGTAATGGATGAATCATTGTGTGGCAGATACATTGCTCCTGAGCAAGTACCAGCTCAATATGGTGGTCTTAGCAAGGAAGGTGAAGAGGAATTTGCTACTGCAGATGCTGCAACAGAGGAAACAATTAAGCCAGCATGCAAACATACAATTGAATTGCCAATCACTGAGGTGGGGAAAGTTTGAGAGATCTTGAAAGTGAAATGTGTTTGTAGATAATAATGATAATTGAATTGGGGTTTTGCAGGGTGGAACAACATTGGTTTGGGAGGTGAGAGTAGTAGGGTGGGATGTTTCGTACGGAGCAGAGTTTGTTCCAAGTGCGGAGGGTGGGTACACTTGGATAGTGCAGAAGTCGAGGAAGATTGGAGCGGCGGATGAACAATCTCTTAGCTGCTCATTCAAAAGTGGTGAAACTGGAAAGCTTGTACTCACATTTGACAACCAGACTTCTAAGAAGAAGAAGCTTGTCTATAGAACCAAGACAATCAAGCCATCTGAATAATGGAGACATGATGGATGGGGCTTTCCTTTTTGTTCATTCACATTCTTTTTTTTTTTTTTTTTTTTGTCTTTATACTTTATAATATCTAAAGAATTTATCTTTGTTGAACTTGAATTGTTTAAACGGTTTGGTTAAAGGGTTTGAGAATGAAAGAATTTGGGATATTTGTGAAAAATAGAAGAAACTTGGATTTATGTGTAAATTTGAGATTTTGTCAAATTTTTTTTTTTTTAATATTTTTATGTTAATATGGACGATAATGTTTGTTGTTTGTTTATTATAGCATTACATGTTGGAAAAATTGATCGCCAATCTGTCTGAAATGCCATTATAATTTCAATTATTTAGTATGGACTATGGTTCACAATATTAACAAAGGAAAGCTGTAATGGGGATTTGTGAAAGCACTGTGTGTCTGTCTTAGGAAGAAGATAGAGGTAGGCAAGAAGCCACTAGCTAGGAATGTTGCTATGCATCATAAGCAGCAAAAGGTAAAAACTAATGTTTATATAATTTCTTCATGATTTTTTTTTCCTGTTAATAAAAGATACATAACGACTCAAAAGTCAAAACTAATTGATCGAAAATGGAAATCGTAAAAGATACATACATACATACATACATACATACATACATACTATACCACTCAATGGCGTAATGAAAGTAAGACCATGATACCTGAAAAATACGACCCGGAGGCCTTCCTATCTCCAGATTGTATATTTAAAAGAAAAAGAAAATCATAAAACCAATTTGAGAATACTTATTAAAAAAGGAGGGAGGGTGTAAAGGACCGAATTAGTAGTATGTAATATTTCAGAATTAGCCCAAATAGTTGGAAGCCCAAATCGATAGTTTATTGGCCCATTAAGGTAAGAAAGAGGCTTTTTTTTACTCGTTATTATCATTCCTAGGGTTCTTCTTTCATTTCGCCTGCCTCTCTCTCTCACCCAGAAACAAGCAAGCATTCCAGATCACACACTCAGTCATGGCGCCCAAGACTGCCAGAGTTACCCGTAACCCCGAACTCATTCCCGGAGTTCGTAAAATATCCCGCTCCCAAATGTACCATAAGCGTGGACTTTGGGCTATCAAGGCCAAGAACGGCGGTAAATTTCCCCAGCACGACAAGGCTGCCGCTGCCACCCCTGCTGTGGAGAAGCCTCCCAAGTTTTATCCGGCTGATGACATTAAGAAGCCTCTCTCTAACACACGCAAGCCCAAGCCCACCAAACTCAGGTTTTTTTTTTTGTCTTTCTTTTTTCTTACTTATCAGTTGCTGATTCTCCTTTTTTTTTTTTTCCTTTGCTTTAAAGGGCGAGCGTTACTCCAGGGACAGTGTTGATAATATTGACCGGGAGGTTCAAGGGAAAGAGAGTTGTTTTCTTGAAGCAGCTTTCATCTGGATTGCTTCTTGTCACTGGTGATCTTTTTTTTTATTTGCCCCACCATTTCTAAGTGTTGCCAATTCTTTTCATTGGATCTGTTGAAAGTTTTAAAGGCTAAGCTTTTATTGTTGGTAATTGAATAATCTGAGTTATGGAATTTTTCTAGATCATATCAACACTCGAGTTTGCTTAATCTAAACAGACATTTTGTGTTGAAAATAACATATTGTTGTTGGTAGTTGGAATGTGTGATAGTTGTGTTTTATCATCTCTAACTATTCATTATTATTAGGCTAGTTACATAGAATTGGTTTATGACACATTAATTGCAATTACTCTGATAAAAAGCTTCGTTTTTTCTTATTCACTATCTGGGACTTCTGAACTCCTATTGCCTTAGGAACTGCTATTTGTTTGGTTGGCATTATTGTTATCAATGTTTTTACTAAATAGGATAATGCTGCTAGTTTCGGTGACTTCTAAGGCATAGCTAAATTTTAAATTTTTGATAATCACTTGCACATTGTTATTTTGATCGAAATAAGACATTCATAAATACTATATCCTGTTATCTTTTAGTTGTTATATTTGGACTCTCTCTATCTTTTACCTCTCAAAAGTGATGTTGACCTGACACTTGATTCATTATCTCTAGTACTATTATGTGTATTGTGCTATATGATATTCCTTGCTTCATTGCTCCTGTAGGTCCATACAAGATCAATGGTGTGCCTCTAAGACGTGTAAACCAGGCCTATGTTATAGGAACATCAACAAAGGTAGACATTTCTGCAGTGAATGTCAACAAGTTTGACGATAAGTACTTTGCCAAGCAAGTAGAGAAGAAAAAGAAGAAGGGTGAGAGTGAATTCTTTGAGGGAGAGAAAGAGGTTAGTTTATTTAACTTTGAATTAATAGAAACCATCTGAAATAGTTTGTGTATTATCTATTATAATGGTATATGGTTTCAATATGTAGGAAAAAAATGCACTGCCTGCAGAGAAGAAAGATGATCAGAAGGCCGTTGATGCACCTTTGTTGAAAGCTATTGAGTCTGTCGCAGAACTCAAGTCATATTTGGGTGCTAGGTTCTCACTCAAGGCTGGCATGAAACCTCATGAGTTGGTCTTTTAGGAGGGATTTTGTTTTTCTTTTTTTCTTTTTTTCTCTTTTTCTTTTTTTTTTTTTGTTTTGCATTCCTGTCCTTAAACCTAATATCAGAGCTTGTATCTTAGAGCAAATTTTATTTGTGGTATAAACGAGAAGCTTTGCTGGCAAATTGTGTGAATTCATCAATATCATTTTGATCGGTTATAAATTTATTTGATTTGGCATCATGTGTTTATGGTCAAATCTGAAATTGCCAGATTGTGTCAAAGATTAAACCAATGGACAAAATAAATATAAATAGAAAAGAAAACAAGATATCATGTATTAACCAGCAATCCATCAGATAGCCAATTTCTCATGATGATAAAAGCTTCCTCTGCATCTGCATCTTCTTCTGGAGTCTGGGGCCTGTGAGCAAAACCATGACCCCTCTCTTTGAAAACAACCATCTTCAACTCCTCATTAATATTTGTAATGTGTTCCAAAACACTGATTGGGCAAAGTGGATCATTCCCACCTGTAATTAGTAGCAGAGGTACATTTATTTGGGTAGCGATGCTAGAGTCAATCCTGGTGCCGTAAAAGGAGACCCCACAGCCAAAAAGGGCACCCTTATCTTGTGCTAGAATGTCTATCACTCTGCCACCTCCATAGCAAAAACCTATTATACCAAACTTGTTTGATATTCCAAGTTGTGCAAATTCATCTAACATCCATTGTGCTGATGCAGATACAGTCTTTGCTATCTTTTCTGGGCTATGCTTGGTTATCCACTCTTCCAGTGGCCTATCTTTTGTCCATGAATCCCCGTTGAACAAATCAGGAACTAGAACACTGTAAACAAGTAGCATATAAGAATTCAAACAGTAGAAGAGCTCTGGGATTGCATTTGGGGTGCTGATGATATTATTTGAAAGAATGATGATTTTGCTTACTTGTAACCATTGCAAGCAAGGCGATAGGCGAAATCTGTGGTGGAAGAGTCTTCAAAACCGAAGATATCGGACAAGAGCAATATTCCAGTTGCATTATTGTTCTTGACTGCGGTGAAAAGATGAGCGCGCAGGTTTTCTCCGATGGTCAGCTCAGTCCCATTCACTAATTCACAGGTTTCTTCTTCTTCTATTTTCAGTTGGCTGCTGCAACTTACTATTACTGATTTCAACTTGTTCTTGCTGCTGCTGCTGCTTGTATGCACTGCAAATGGCTGTTTCTGGATTTTCTGCACAAAAACATGAAATTGTTGTGTATGGTGGTGATTCAGCTTATAATAAATTGGTGGAGCTGAGGAAGAGGAAACGGGGGCTGAACCCAAACCCATGTATTATTTCACTCAACTGAATCAAAACCAAGAAACAGGCAGCAGCTTTATCTCTAAATATCTGCTGCCGCTGCTTTCTTGATGGATTTAGGCCTCAATTTGCAAGTCCAACACGACAAATACTAGAGTCCTTTGATTCGTGGTCCCCCCTGGGTGTTCATTTTTCTTTACCTCTAACAGTAACAAATTATCTACTTCATCTACTATTTTTTATTACTCGGCTCCAACATTAAAATAAATAAATTTACTACTCCTACCTCAAATTGACACTCCAAAACAGCCTCCATAAATCTTTATTCAGGACTGAGGTGTAGTAATGATTATAAATATAAATTCTCTGATATTGTTCAAAATCAGAAACCGTAAAAGGAACAGAAATTTATTGCAATCAATCAATCTCATTCTATTGCAACTCCTATATAGAGAAACATTACATGAAATTCTTTGATGTTCAAAATATGTTGTGATAGTCTATTGCTATACAAACTGAATGGAATAAGTTTTATGGCACCTAAGAGTCCCAAATAGTGGCGGAAGCAAATACAATACTATTGATGTAATAAATCAGTAAGCTTTTATAACTCCGTGTGAATGAGATGCTCCGTACTTTGGATAAAATCTGCTTCTTTATTAGGTATGATAGTTGCATCCTTATCAGAAGATGAAAGGCATTCTGCAGAAGGTTGAATATATCCATAACCGAATCCTGCAGCAGAGTTGCAGTAAGTCTCGACAGTGCCATCACTCTTCTGTAAGTTGATGTTATTGAGAACTATGTGAGTACAAGGGACACTGTCACTGCATGCAAATTTCATGGCCTTTTGGCTTCTCGATGTCCCTGTTATGTTGCGGTACATGATTTGGCTTATTTCCACTGCTGAAGTCTATAACAACATATTGTAACTGTATCATTTTGCATGCATAAATTCATTCAAGAATATACAATCAACGTATAATATATATATATATATATATATATATATATATATATAAGAGTTGATTGATGACATGTGTATATATATGATACCTGGTTTTGACAAGAAGTTGGTGAATCACAATAGAATTGGTCTATGATTATTGGGTTTGAGACATCTTCCATTCGTACGTCTTGATAGCGTACTGACCGCACATAACCAGATCCTCCCTACAAAACCAGGGCTCTCTTCCGTTGTTCAGATGAAGTAGCATTTTCGTGTATAATAAGTTTTAAGGAAACTTGGAATTAAAAAAAAAAAAAACAGTTTCTTTTAACCTGCCAAGTCTTGATTCTAAGGCCATTCGTTGCACCTCTAAGAAATGCTTTGTCCAGCACAATCTTCTCAACAATGCCGGTGGAGTTGTCTTTTCCGAGACTACCTATGCTGGTACATTATTTACCATGGTATTGGTATTAGCAATTAATGCAAGTAAATCACTTGTTCAATTTGAGGTGAGTTTTATTGTCTTGCAACAAAAATAGAAAAGCATTGAAATATTTCATTTCAGGTGACTATATAAATACTTACCTGATTCCATGACCGGGTCCACAATAGATGTTCTTCATCTTGATATTAGAGCTACCATTCACAATTGAGATGCAATCATCACCGGTCCCAATTTTGCAGTTCTGGACAAGTACAGTTGTCGAATCAGTGATATGGATGCCATCAGTATTTGGACTGTCTTCAGGAGATGAAACTTTGACATCAATCACACGAACTGAATTGGAACGGGATATTACAAAGTTCATCTGTTGGCTGTTTTGAATTGTGAGGCCTTTCACTCTTACTGCTGAGCTCAAATCTATGGTTAAGGCCTGCAATCCACGCAGCATCACTTGTTTCAGTTTTTATATGTATGATTCTTTGTTACCATTCTTGTATGTAACTAATTAGTAGGAAGAGGAAGGAGGAGAAGAAGAAGAAACTCACTGTTGGTGCTCCTCTGCATGGCTGAGAGTGAGAGATGGAAAACAAGGCAAAAAATAACAATGGTTAGTTAGTGAAAGGGCAAAGTTATATATATATATATATATATTTGTTTCGATGTTAAAAAAGTATGAAACAGGATTTTAGTTACGTTAGTCTTATTCTTTTTGCAAGAAGCCGCCCACCATTTGCTGCCTGAGCCATCAATAACACCATTCCCTTGGAAATATACTTTTGTTAAATTGTAAAAACTAAGCCAATTTCTCTGGTTCTTTGGATCCCAACTTTTGGGCTCATCAGGCGCTACAATGGTCCCTTCTATCTGCACCAATATTCATTTATACTATCTATCATTCAAATTTCAATCTAGTAAAAGAACAGACCATATTCTTTGGATTATTAATCAATTAATAATAATAATATTAGGTACCTGGATCACAAACTTGTCAGAACAAGGTCCTCTAAATCTTGTTGCATTGACTAAATAACGACGGCCTTGAGGAACCAAGAGAACAGATCTATCCGTGGAACAAGCCTTGTTCCATGCATTGACAAATGCCTGAGTATCATCAGAAACACCATCTCCAACAGCACCAAATCCATCTACATTCACAATTACTTTGTTCACATGCGCACTTCCCCAAGACACCGAATCCATTCGTCCACCTTCCAACTCGTCTTCAAGCTCTGTGAAATTCTCAAAACTCTCTGAGAAGTCTTTGCCTGCACTTGCACTCACACTTGTAAGGCAAACCAAAACAAAGCTAACGAATACTAGTAACTTGTTCATCATTTGTTTTTTTCTTTTCTTTCAAATTTCTGGCTAGATTAATACTAGATTTGCATAAATCAAGTGAAATAGAAGGGGGTATTAATAATATATAAGTATGGTTTGAGTTAGCAAATTGCAATTGGATTTGTATGGGAATAAGATATGGCTTGGCTTGAAAGGACATGTTACATTTTCTACACTTGAAGGGTAAGTATATATAATTTTCAAAGACTTTGCTTTACTCCTCAATCTACTTCTACTGGCATTTTGCACTATAACATACACCACCCCACTTGATAATCATGGCCAAACAAAAACAGATTGTTCACTTGTTCTTCAGAACAAGGAGGTTTCAATCTTGTTTATTTTTTTCTTTGAAAAGGTTTATGACATTTTCTCTTGCAAGTTTTAATTACTTCTTTTAGATAACTTAATTAAAGGGCTAAATACACTTTGCACCTCTGAAGTATAGCTCATGTAACACTTACACCCTTAAAGTATCATTTGTAACACTTAACCCCCCTCCACATCAATTATTTTATATTTTAAAATTTAATAAACATTACAATCTAATAATTAATGGTTCATAGAAAATTGAAAAGTAACTCAAATTAATTATTACAATTTTTTATAAGTAATATATATTGGGTAATAATGAATGAAAATATATTTAAAAAAAATTAATGAACTAAAATAAATTTTATTACTTAAGATTTCTATTAGTTATGTATTGATTTCTTAAAATTTATCGATAGAGTATTTTTGATTAATTGGTCCAACAATAATTAGATGTTATTTATTGAATAAGTATCCAACAGAAGATAATATTTTTAAATTTTGAAATATTGTATTTTTCAACAAATATTTTAGTTGTATAATTTAATTATTCTTTTAGTTATTCCTTTCAATAAAATAATTTTTTTGGGTGTTAAAATTTACAAAGTAAATTGTGCTTGAGGGGGTAAGTATTATTACAAATGATACTTTAAGGGGTAAGTGTTACAGATGATATAATTTAGGGGTGCAAAGTGTATTTAACCCTTAATTAAATAATATAAAAAATACCAAGTAAAGAATAAACTATCACTCTTAACTATATATTTGTATATGATTTGCAGTTTGTTCCATGCATACAAATAATATACAGTATTCTGTTTTTTTTTTTTTTTTTTTTTTTTTTTATTTTTATGGTCATTGTTCAATTAAATAATATCCGCAAAATGAGATGAAATAATAAGGAAAAGAATAGAGTGAGAATATAAAATAATAAACTAAAATCTCCATATAAAAGTGAGAGAGTATGATTGGGCTGAATTTGAATTGAAACTGTTACAAGACCCAATTTATGAAGCCCATAAAAAAATGTTGTACAATGTTTAGAAAGTTATAAATTATAATTAATCACAAGAATATCGGAATTGTGGTTATATAAGGACAACTAAAAGCTATTCCAGAAAAGTATCAAGCGAATTGTCAGTACGAGAAACCCTAAACCTCCTTCAGGAATCAGGACGCATCATTATCGGAATTCCCTCTTCGGTTTCTCTCGATCTATACCTATGCTCTTTAGATCCTCTGATCTCTTATCTTTAATCCTTCTTTAATATTTGCAATTTCACAGGTTTGCTAGTGTTCTCAAAAGATTTATTGTTCGTCTTTGATTTTTCAGGTTTTTTTTTCCTGTTGGTTTGAAGATTGAAGCCATGGCTCTGGTGAGTTTACACCTTTTAACAAAAATATTTAAGTGACGTTTGTTGCAGAAATTTCGAAGCATTCGCCTTCTGATTTTATGATGTGAAAAAAAAATTGATTGATAATCTAGGAATCTGCAGTTTTCTTTGTCTATTTGAAATAAGTGAAGTGTTTTTTTCTCAATTTCAAATTGCATTGGTGCTTGTTTAAATGGCAGTTTGTATCTTTAATTTTGAACCAACTTCGGATTTTTAGTTGTGACCCAGCGTGCATGCTTCATTCTCGATAGCTATGTTAGTATGTGTTTTGGTCCTTCAGCTCAGAATTTGTATCTTACAAAGCACTTTTATTTCTCCTGAATTAACTTTGTTTTGTCTTGGGGCTTTATTTTATGAGCATTTGACCGGATATTCATATTGAGTCAGATTGAGGCAGTATCCCTTATGTTTTGTAGGATATGGGCATGATTCCTTGTATTTTATTGTTGCAATTTTCGTTAGAAACCTGATCATTTGATCAATCACTTAAAATTGGAATTGCTCTTACAGAACTAGGAAAGGTCATCAATATAAAGAAGTGTGAAGAATCTCTCTGTGACAACAGGCAAATTATATAATAAATGCATCCAATCCCGGTTGTTGATCTTATTTGTTCTTATATGTAGGTTTTACATGCCTCTAGTACAAACAAAAATGCCATCAAGGCACTTATTACAGCAGAATATAGTGGCATAAAGATTGAACTGGCAAAGGGCTTTGAGATGGGTGTATCAAATAAGACACCAGCATTTCTCAAGATGAATCCTATAGGAAAGGTATGTACAAAATTTTAATGATCATATCAATTCTTACCACTCCCCCTTTCTAATTTTCAAGTTCTTATCGCAGGTTCCTGTGCTTGAAACACCTGATGGCCCAATATTTGAAAGCAATGCAATTGCACGCTATGGTACCCACACTTCTGATTAAATTTGTTCCATGATTTTTTTATAATTTGGTTTGCGCTGACATGTCTCTTATTTACTTTTTACAGTGGCTCGATTGAAGGCTGATAACCCCCTCTATGGTTCTTCCTTGATTGATTATGTAAGTAATTGACCTTTGCTAGAATGTAATCGATGAGAAGCTCTAGTTACGCCTTGAGTACATTTTCTTATCCTTCCTTTTTGTTAATTGGAATTTGCAGGGGCACATAGAGCAGTGGATTGATTTTTCTGCTAACGAGATTGATGCTAATATAGGGCGTTGGTTGTACCCGCGACTTGGTTACGGTCTTTATCTTCCTCCGGTATGTCATTGTCAAACCTGCGTTTTTCATTTCAGGGGGGCACATTGAAATTGAATTTTTAACTTTTTTTCCACTTGTGCACAGGCTGAGGAGGCTGGAATTACTGCACTAAAGAGAGCTCTGGAAGCATTGAACATACATCTTGCCTCCAAGACCTACTTGGTTGGACATGAAATCACACTTGCTGACATTGTGATGGCATGTAACCTGAGTATTGGATTCAAGGCAATCATGACTAAGAGCTTTACTTGTCAATTCCCACATGTGGAGAGGTACTTCTGGACATTGGTCAATCAGCCAAATTTCAAGAAGATATTTGGTGATGTTAAGCAAGCAGAATCTATTCCACCTGTTGCATCCAAGAAACCCGCCCAACCAAAGGAACCTGCAAAACCCAAGCCAAAGGAGGAAGCCAAGAAAGCGGTGAAGCCCAAAGAAGTAGCAGAAGAAGAAGAAGAAGCTCCTAAGCCGAAGCCCAAGAATCCTTTGGATCTTTTGCCTCCAAGTAAGATGATACTAGATGACTGGAAGAGGCTCTACTCTAACACCAAGACCAACTTTCGTGAGGTTGCCATCAAAGGTAGTCATTTTTTTTATTCTTTTTCTTTTTTTATGTTTACATTATGCAACTCCAAATCATGTTTTATGGTGATGTGCAGGGTTTTGGGACATGTATGATCCAGAGGGATACTCTCTATGGTTCTGTGAGTACAAATACAATGATGAGAACAAAGTGTCGTTTGTGACATTGAACAAGGTGAGTGGTTTTCTGCAGCGAATGGATTTGGCACGAAAGTATGCATTTGGGAAGATGTTGGTTATTGGTTCAGAGGGACCATTTAAGGTGAAGGGACTGTGGCTCTTCCGAGGAACAGAAATACCGCAGTTTATAATTGATGAATGTTATGATATGGAGCTCTATGATTGGACTAAGGTAGATATCAACGATGAAGCTCACAAGGAGCGTGTGAATCAGATGATTGAAGATGCCGAGCCTTTTGAGGGAGAGCCTCTTTTAGATGCCAAGTGCTTCAAGTGATTTCTGATGCTGTGTCCTATGGTTGACCAAAAATAATATTCCTGATCGTTTTTTTTTTCTTTTTCTTTCTATTGAACAACAGCAAAGTAGTTAGTTGTTGAGTTGGGACATGTTCGTAATTAAATGCTTATTAGTTTTCTAGGGAAGGGTGACACTGTTTTACATTAGTGATGTGGGTGCCTCCTAAGGGAGCCTATCATACTCATTCTCTTTCTTTCCTTTTTTGGGTTATGTGTTTTTTCCTGTCTGCATTCGCATTGACTATTGAGCTGTGTAACACTAGCACGAATCCAGGAAAACTGATCGATCGCCACCTCATGCTTCAAAAAGGTCAACTCTCATTTGAGAAATTTACTTGGTAGGTTATCAAATAGATTATCAAAATAGATTATCTATTTTTACTCCAACCATAAACCAAAATGGAAGTTTTGTAACTTTCGAACTGTGGAGGAAAACTTAAAATTGTATATGCAAGTAACTTGAAACGGATTAGTAATTGGAAAATCATTTAAAGCACTCTGAAACTTTTGCGATGTAGTTTTTACTACGGTGGAGTACAGGTGAACTCATTTACTACTCATTGGCAGCCACCGCATCTCTCCGCCAATTAAACCCTCTGCCACTCTCCATAAAAGAAGCACCTCAACCATTTACAACTCTCTCCATAGTCACGTCTACAACGAGAGAGAGAGAGAGAGAGAGAGAGAGAGAGAGAGAGAGAGAGAGAGAGAGAGAGATGGCTGATAACTATTATTTGAAGAGGTTTTATCTGGTTCTGTTGGTGTTGAGTGTTAACAATAAAAGTATTGGAATGTGTGAAGATGAAGAAGATGCATTTGCACCCGCGGGTGGTAGTGGTAGTCAAGAATTGGTACCTGCTATGTTTATTTTTGGAGACTCTCTGATAGATAATGGCAACAACAATAACTTGGCTTCTTTGGCTAAAGCTAACTATTTTCCTTATGGCATCGATTTCAATGGAGGCCCTACAGGACGCTTCTCCAATGGTTACACCATGGTCGATACAATTGCCGAATCACTCGGACTACCATTGATTCCTGCTTACTCCGAGGCTTCTTCTTCGCCTGATCAAATGCGATACGGTGTTAACTATGCCTCTGCTGCTGCTGGTATCCTTGACATTACTGGCAGAAATTTTGTATGTATCATGTTTTGTCATTTTTCTTTTATTGAAATATAGATATATATATAGGGTTCTCAATTCTCATGCATGTACTCTTTACAGGTTAGTCGCATTCCTTTCAACCAGCAAATCAAAAACTTTGAGAACAGTCTTGATCAAATCACAAACAGTATTGTCGGTGCACCACCACCAGCTGATGTGGCACAAGCTCTCTCCAAATGCATTTTCTTTGTCGGAATGGGCAGCAACGATTACCTCAACAACTATCTCATGCCCAACTATGACACAAAGAATCACTACAATCCTCAACAATATGCAGATCTCTTGGCTGAGCAATACTCCCAACAACTTACTGTAAGTAAGATAAGATATATACTAGATTAATCTAAAGATAATTAATTATATCATACATGCATGCATGTGTTGATTTGCAGAGGCTTTACAATCTCGGAGCTAGGAAATTTGTGATAGCAGGGCTTGGACTGATGGGTTGTATCCCAAGCATCCTAGCACAAAATAGTAATGGTATATGCTCTGAGGAAGTCAACCAACTTGTCCTTCCTTTTAACACAAACACAATGTCCATCATGAACAATCTCACTACCAATCTTCCCGGTGCTAAATTTTCTTACATTGACATTCGGAATTTGTTTCAAGATCTCATTGCCAATGCTGGATCATACGGTAGGTACTACCTTAATTGTCTCTAGTATATCTTGTATTAAAAATAATCTTTTAATCAAATTCGTAAACTTTTATATATTATTAGGATTTGGCGTGTTAAACCGGGGGTGCTGTGGCATTGGGAGGAACAGAGGGCAGATAACTTGTCTTCCATTCCAGACACCATGTCCAGAGAGGAATCAGTACATATTCTGGGATGCTTTCCATCCAACAGAAGCTGTTAATGTCTTGTTTGGACAGAGAGCTTTCAACGGAAGCACACATTTTGTGTATCCCATAAACATACAGCAACTTGCCAATCTTTGATGCCCATCTTTTCTGTCGATGAGATACTGATTCTAATATAGCTCTTGTAGCTTCTAATTTTAGCTTGTAAACCAAATTCACAAGTCTCAAATGTCAAAAGATCAGAACAGAATTGGACCACTCTTGAATAAAAGTGGGAAGTAGAATGCACCACGTACATGTTCGAAAATTAAGTCCACACAACATATACTTTAACAGATGCCTTATTTCACTAAAAAAAAAAAATCCTAAATGGGGATAAAACCATCCAATTGAACAAACATGAAATACAAAAAAAAAGAAGGCGAACATTTAAAGATATAATAGTCTCAATGCAGGGACAAGAGTGCATGTTTGATGAGATATTCAAAGTCATCTAATACTCCAAGAAGCTTAGGCAAGTAATCCTAAAGCATGACCAGTTGCTGTATGTTAATGGGATAGGCATATGATTTAGACTTTGAACTATAAGCTTTCTTTGCAAACAAGATGTTGGCAGCTTCTGTGGGATGAAAAGCATCCCAGAAGACGTACTTTTGACGGTTATCACACGGAGTTTGAAGAGGAAGGCATGTTATCTGCCCATTGTTTCTTCCAACCCCACAACATCCCTTGTCTGCCACTTCAAATCCATATGTTTTGGCATTTTGGACAAGGTCTTTGCTGCTCTCAAATGAATCCAGGTAAACAAACTTTGCCCCTGGAAGCTGACCCCGTTTGTTAAATTGATCCACCAATCTTTTGAGACCTGTGTTGAATAGGACAATAGCACTGTTGATCTCCTCATTGCACCTGTTGCTGCTGTTACCGTTATATCGCGCCAGCTGGTACGGTATACAACCTATTTGTCCAACCCCAGCCACAACCACTTTTCTTGCTCCCAACTTGTATAATCCCTGGATATATATAAACATTATAATCAAGCTGAGTTTGAACTTGAAATTCAAAGTAGGTAGTTATATGGCGTACTTACTGCTAATTGCTTAGAATAATCCTGGATGAGAGAAGCAGCATAAGCCTTTGGGGTGTATTGAGAACTAGTTGGGTAGTAATCGGTCATGAAATAATTGTTGAGATAGTCGTTGCTTCCCAATCCGCAGTAGAAAATGCATTTGCTGAGATAGGCGGCAAGTGCATTAATGTTATCTCCTCTAAAGTACCTCCTCAACTGCTGCACCGTGGTGGCAAAGTGATCAACCTGCTGGTTCATTGACATGTGATCCCCCTGTAGCGAAAGTGAAGCCAAGTAAAGTCAGTCAAACTCCCCGTGTTGTCTTGTAGATTCTGAGAGGAATGCATTGATATTAGTATCTATATATACAAACCAAGTTGTTTCCTGTTTCATCTCTGATTCCAGAGGCTCCTGATGCATAATTTGCTCCCTGAAATAATGCTCGGCCACCTGTCCTAGCATAGGGCGGAATGTAGTTCGGAAAGCCTAATAACTGAGCTGAAATCAGTAACACCATCACAAGTTAAAGAATGTTTGCATCACAGTGTAATAACTCAGTAAAATGCACAATGTAAATAACAAGTAGGATCTGTATCAAAGAATAATATATTATAGTATATTTATTCCAGAGAAAAATGGGTAAAGTTGGTACCTAAAATATCGACGAAAGTACGTCCATTGGTGAAACGGCCAGTGGCGCCTTGTGGGAAATCAATACCGTAAGGCATGTAATTGGCCCTGGCAAGACTTAGTATTCCATTATTATTGCCATTGTCAACTAAAGAATCTCCAAATATGAAAAGGCCAGGCACTTGTTGAACTTGGTTATTCGGCTGCGAGTACACCTTACATGCTGTTAAACACCACAAACTGAAAGCGAAAACAACCCACATCACGAATCTACTGGAATTTGACATTGTAAATAAATAAGGAAAATTGGTTTTTGCAAACTCTAGTATAGTTCTGGTGATTACTAGTCTTGGTACGTGTGGGGGTTTTATAGTAAGTTGCTTGCTACTTTTACGTGAACAAATTTAAAGAAACAACCCGTGAGAAGAAATTTAAAGAAAAGGTATTTTTTTAGCTGTAGTTCACGAATGATATTTGGAAGCTAAAACCAGAGCGGTGACAAGAGCTGATATCTCGTGACAACTTATTAAAGTGCTTGGAAATGAAAGAATTTCTATGGCCAAACATTTGGAAAAACCAAAGAGTAACAAAGATTTCTAATTATACTATCTGTACCTCAAGGATAACTTTTATTAATAACACCGGTAAAGCCACCTTCAAATTATATAAAGTCTTTTCCATTTCTTGGGCCTCGCAATTTTTATATTTCTTGTTTTAGCTAAATAATTATTAATAAATATACGAATTAATTTCATTTACAAAATTTTCATCAGTTAAAAAATTACATAATATTTGGAGGCCCAAATTCGTGGCCACAAGATTGCAGGCCACAAACTCACCCTTATGCGTCCATAACTTCAAATCACAGGCCCAAGTTCAACTTATATTGGGACCATAACTTCAAAATAAAGGCCCAAATTGACCTCATATTGGACCAATTACTTCAAATTAAAGGTCCAAATTCAACTCATGTTGAGCCCATAACTTCGAACTGCAGACCCAAATTTCTCAAGGGGCCACAAGATTGCAGGCCAGAAATTACGAGCCCGTAACTTCAAATTACAGGCCCAAATTCAACATATATATGCATATCAATCACTTTACCTCCTTTTAAACAAGGATTAATTTGCTCGACAAAGAAACAAAACACAATTGTACTTGATCAACTTTCTTCTTCTCCATCTTCTTTCTTCTTCGTTGCTATGGGCTGGCCAGGAGCACTGTACACCGGAACTCTTTTTGTCGACCTTGAATACGGGCCCACTGGTACATGTGAAGTGTTATTTTAAAGAAAATGCTCTTTACGGTTTAAATATTGCTATTTACCGTTCAAAACAAAAAATGTTTATCTCTCTAAAATTCGAAAAAAATGGACAAACGCCCAAGTCGGGCGCCCGCCGCCTGAACAGACGCCCAAAGTGGGCGTCCGTTCAGGCGACCGGCGCCCGACTTGGGCGTGTAAAGAGCATTTGGACGCCCGGTTTGGGCTTTTCCCGGGCGAACCGGCGCCCGGTCCAGGCGTCGGTTCGGCCGGGAAATAACCAAACCGGGCGTTCGATTAAATTTTTTTTTTTTTTTTTTTTTTCTGTTTTAAAATAAATTTTTTTTTTTCTGAATTAAAATAAGTTAGTAAATTTACAGTTGGACCGTGCTGATGCTGATGATCGGGATGCAGGACCCTCTCAGGAGCGACATTCTCACCGCAGGCGTAGGACGAGGGATACTTAGGTGTTCAGGACCTGATTTTCGTTTTTTAGGCAAAATTTATGTTTAATAAAATATGTTGTTCATAACCTGATTTCCGTTTTTATTATTATTATTATTATTATTATTATTATTATTATTATTAGAACATAATATAATAATAATAATAACATACTAACATTCATTATAACATCATAACATAATAATAATAACATACAATGTCAATAGTAATACATTCATTCCAATAAAAAAAACAAAACTAAATCAAACACTATTTAGAATATCCCACGCTTCACGTCGACTCCGCAACGCCTTTGGTAGACTACTCTGACCTCCCATATATTGGAAAATGATTATGCTTCCCGTATACTACCCTGACACCCCATCTATCGTCCGACCGTAGCTCTCCGACAATTTGAAACCACAGTTTCTTTTTTTGCTACCGGTCCTTCTCGGGCGCGCGTTTGGGTTAGTTGATGACATTCTCGTTTCTCCCCGTATAGGTCACAAGTCAGAAAAATCTTTTTTTAGACAACTTTGTTTTAGCAGTGAACTTC